TCTTGATGATAAGTTACACAATGAGCTTTTAATGTAGACCTTTCTTACAGGAAGTGGAACACAAAGTCAGGCTCAGAAAAATTAATATGTCTCTTCAACTTGCCAGCCTCTATTGTCTAAATTGTACGAAAGCACCATTGTTGCTGAAATTTATGTGACACATCACTCGGAAAAATATCACTCCATGAAAGCTGCCAGTCATATCATCCAACCGTCTCTCAATGCATCTGTCCCACTGAGTTGAGTCCAATTAAAACCATCACCAATTCCCAACTCTGGCCAGAATTGGCTTGTTGTTCACAAGACCCACTGTTTGGCCAGAATCATCATTTGCTGTTGCTCCAGTCTGTTCTCTCAGAGCATCAGACACAAACAGCTCTGACAAAAGGCCAGTTGTCTAGTTTGTCTGATTAACCCACTACTTCTAGACAACTTGTGAAATCTATTCCAGAAATCTCTGACTTTCTGTTTTTCCTCTGACGTTAAATGTTGAGCTCTTTTCGTCAGTGTCACATTGACACGCAAATGCTATTCCAATTATTCTACACCCTCTCTGCTCGCTGTCAAATTACCAGCACTGGGAGCGGAGCACGGCTCTCACTGCACCTCTCTGGCATTTTCCCTGACAGGGAGAAGAAAGGAGTCTGAGATAGCAGAACGAGGGAGGGCTTGGGGCTCAATGACTATTTTAAATGCTGAAACCAGGTAATCAGACAGACTCAGTCTGAGACCAGGAGTGTACTGTTGGATCGAAGATGTTTTGCTATGGTTTTCAGCAGATTGTCAGAGCAACACTGTATATTTGGATACCTGGCCTGGTGCTTTGCATGGAAAGCAAAAGAAAGAAATAAAATATAAAATGCTTGCAAACTGAATTCATACTCCATAGTGGTTTACTCTGCAATGTTTTACAGTCAGCTGCTAGGTGTCAGATTCATGACAGGAAGATTTTTTGTACTGCTTCTGCTTATTGGTGCAGTAGGCAGTACAGAGCAAAGAGCAGAGGCTTAGACAGATGATGTGAACATAATGCTAGTTTGGATCCCTGCATTGCAGAACACAAACCTAAGTGTGGCATGCAAAACATCCTGAAGCAGTGTCTCAGTCATTTCAGTGTTTTGGTGTTAAAAAACAAAAAAAGAAAAAGAAATTGCATAAGCAACGACAGATTAGCTCCACATTTTCAGCAATTTTTGGTCTTATCTAGTCTTGGAATTTGCCCCAGCAGTGCCGCTTTAGTTCTTGTTTTGTTTTCTCCTCAATAGGCACAGCAGTGGGTTGGTAGTCGGCAGTATGTAGGCTGCGTTTCTTAAATGACATCTCAGCTCCGGGGACCTTGGGGCAACATCCACCTGACGTGTGTAAGAGTTATTTCAGGCATAAAGGAGTGTCAGTCAGTCAATGTGACAGCCCTTTGCAGCATTCACATAGACACATATACACCTCTCATTAGCACAGAGCTGTGAGGGGCTGAGTAAGTGCTGCTCTGCTCAGATGTTCACATACACTTCACTGCCTGTCAGAGCCCAACTGCACACAGCACTGTGAGACTACAGGCCTCTGTGGAAGAAATGCATTTACGAAGGGAACTTTTATTTTCATTATCGGTGCAGGACTGAACAAAATGAGAAATCTGTTGCTCTAGCAGTTGTAGCTCTAGCTATACAAAAGTTGTAGGTCTGTAGTTCTGTTTATTGTTTGGTGCTATTTTGCTTTTTTACCGGTTATCACGAATGTAGCTGGAGTGCAGCACAAAGGGCATAGAGAGGCGAAAGAGGAAATTATAGGTTGGAGTCTAGAAGCTAGAGGTGATGCACTAAAGAGGAAGGGAGGGGAGTCTATGGAAGAGAGGAGATAAAACACTTAGGGGAGGGCAGAATAAAGGATCAGCATCTGCAGGGGAAAGAATAATAATGCAAGGGATGCAGTGGAAAACTGAAGCCAATAACAGGAAAACAAGAAAGTGCTTGAAGCTAATCAGGAGTTCCTGTGAAGGCCTGGAATGTTCTTATTTGTGGAGTGACTGAAGCCCAAAGGTGAGCTGGTAGACTCACCTTTAAGAATGGATGGTTTGAGAATGACTGATGGAGAAATAAGGTTTCCTGGAGGCATAAACCCAGGTGACGCTCCTGCTATTCCCACCTCATAATGCATGTTTTTTTATGACAGCTAATCAATCTGAGCTGTTTACACTTTAGTGTCCAGACTCTTAAGCTGCCTTCCCAACTCCAATTACATGTTTCTCTGAAGTAGTGGGGAGAGATAAAGGTCATTGTTAGCAGCACAATATGTAATTCGAAAGAAATGGTCTTACAACCCTGTGATTTCATTCAAATTACTGCATGCTGACCAGCCTTACAAGGTTGTGATGTAATCTTTAGCCCGCGGGTTGTCTTGGACAAAACAATCGCAACTACAAGATCACTAAAAAGTGAAGTCCCAACAGTTCAGTGCTGAACTATGCTAAAAATGTTAGCAGCTAAAATTTGCCCCTGGTCATAATTTTCAGAGATTGTAACTATTTCCAAATAGTTACAATTATGTGTCATAGTGAAACTAATCTAGTTCAATAGAGCTAAAGTTATTTTAGAAAAGAAATAATATTGGCCAGAGTGGCTGTGTAATTTTTGGATTTTCTCTGCATGAATCCTTTGTCTGACTACAGCATACAAATCAAACACTGCATTAAAATATTATCATCTAATTTTTAGTTTTAGTTGCATTTAATGCATTTGTTGTTATTACACATTTTTTGAATTTTTAATGTATTTTAGTGTAATAAGGCATAAATTATCAGGGCAAGATCTTAGTGGGATTATAATGATTGCACTTGGTTCAGGATTTATTTATTTTTTATCTCTTTTCATGATGGTATGATGTATGGACATAAACTGTAGGCGCAGGGCGAATGCCAAAGTTGCTGATCTACCAATATGTTGAGGCAGCCTCCAAAATATTCACTTAGTATTCAGCCAAGGTCCCTGTGCTTTACTCACATGTCTGGACTCATCAGTCCCAGCTGTAATCAGTAGTGCTCTGACAGCAAAACAAGGGGTGTGTAAGAGAACGTGAAGCTAACTCAAATGAGAGGCCAGCGTAAACAGTGACAGGGCCAATTCCAGTTCCCAATCTCACTGCAAATAGAGGTGAACAGGGGAGCACAGAGACTTAACGAAGACATAGCAGCATCTGATCACAGCACCTCAGCACGCCACTAGTGTACCAACAGGTCGTGATAAAAGGATTACGCTTTGACTTTAATCTAGAAGAAATGAAAAATATGGGTGGAAAAACTTAAAAGGGGTCATCAAGCGTGTGATCTAATCCCTCTAAGAGCTAGTGCACAAAGCTGTAAATGAGTTCGTAAAAATAAAAATATGCCACTAAGGGTACGCAATTATGGTCTGAGTACTTTTTGTATTTGTTTGAAGCAAGCAGTCGAAGCCGTCACCTCTTTTTTATTAAGAGTCATCAGGAGGGATAAAAATACGGTGGATCATGAAAACTGAGGGCAACCCAGTTTGTCTGTCTGTATATCCAGTTCCAATTTTAGCTAATAGTTTCCTATTCAGGTAAAGTTTCCTCTCAGGGAAAGCAAGCCTCTGTTTAGCACCAGGAGCTGTCCAGGGTCCAACAGTGTACGGAAACAATATCTGCTCCCATGTTTAAGTGATGTGCCCAAACTAGCTGAATATGCAAGTTCTAAAATGTTTTGGAGATCTTGTTTGCTGTGTATTTATTTATTTGAATGTAACGTGAAGTGGGGATAAGGGAAATAAAGCTTTTGCTGATGCAGGTCCTTCTGTACGTGATTGTCCTTTATAAGCAGGAGGCAGAGTAGAAGAGTGAAGTGAAAATTGTGCATGCTTTCCACAAAGGGCAGAAGATGTTATATCCCAAGATTCCCAACAAATATGAGTGGGAAGAGCAAGTCTTGGTTAATCGTGTGTCAAATTTTAGGAATTTGTTTCTGCTTGTGATTCTAACCACAGCAAATAAGCAAATACATTTACTTTACACAATGTCTGACTTTATGCTATACAGGATTTACTTTGTTTACAGATGATTTAATCCCAATATTGGCAGGGTTTGTTGATGTTAATGAGGTTATTTCAGATTGCTGTAAATGAGGTCATTTTTTAAGGTGAATTTGTGATGTGAATGATAGAACACGGGTTTGCAGAAGAGGAGCTGATCAGCATTTCCTTTGTTTCCATGACTATGAGGTACGGGAAGGAAAGAAAACCCATAATTGATTTCCTGATAGGCCACAACAGAGTTAATGAGGACTCCCTGTGTCATCTGCATATTCTAAATATTTGTAACAGAAGGTGCGCAGTTGGAGTCACCTCCCCACATGGTAGAATTTTAGTTTAGAATTTGACTTTTACAGTCGACTTTAATTTGCAAGAAGAACTTCATGCTGTATTAAATAAGTTGTGGGGGGAAAAATAATGAAGCCTTAAACTCATTTTAAGGTTCTAATGAGTGTAAAACTAAGTAACTTCAGTGTTTACTGAGGTCTCATATGAGAAAGAGGGTATTTTCTTCAAAAAAAAAAAAAGAAAAAATTTACATTGCCGTGGACTGAGAGGGTGCCAACCAAGAAAAACAAACCCTGCTCCAAAGTCGAGACCCTCAAGCTTAACTGGAATTTGCAGCTGTCCACATGGACAAGCCAAATGCCTTCTGGAGGAAAATCTTATGGTCAGACTCAACAGCTAGACAGCTGACACATTACAATGACTCGAAACACATCAAAGCTGGTTTTGGACTTCTGGAATGGCCTTTCCAAGCGCCAAATCTTAACACTATTGAAAATTGTGGGCTATTCTTAAAAGTCAGGTCAGTGCCAGTAAACCATTTAATTTAAATGACCTTTACAGGGAAAGATAACGACCCAAAGCAAACAGCAAAAGCAACCCAAGAGTTTTTCAACACAGCAAAATAGAATATTCTTCAATGGCCAGTTATTGAAGACAAAACTTGTGTTTTGGCAGAGAATGTCACGAACAAGCAGCAACTGAAGGTTACAGCTCTAAAGACCCGGCAGAGCATCTCAGGTGAGAAAATTCAGCATTTGGACATGTCCTTTGGTCCTAGACTTTAAGCAGTCATTGACTGCAAATGATTTTCTACCAAGTATAGTAAAGAATCCTTACATTTACAAATACTTCTGAGCCTCTGAAGTTGAGGAATTATGTATTGCAATGTCTGTAATTTCCAAACAGTTAATGCAATTTTTTTTAACTAATTGAATGAAAGCTAAAAGTCTACACTTCAATCATATTCTTCCTGTTTCAGTTAAAATCTACTCTGGTCATTTGCAGAGGAAAAACTGCACATTTTCTCATTGTCCAAATATCTTATATAGAGGATATGGTGAAGTCCTGTATAAAGGTTGTCTTGTTATAATCATCTCAGGAATCCTTTTCTGTATCTAACAAATCCTGTTTACTTTCAGGACAGCACAAAGAAGGACTTCATGGAAATTTTAAAGAAATTTCAGGATTCTAAAAAAAAAAAGCTTGACAACATCTCTCCTTACTGTGTTTGTATCCCATAGGCATCCTATTGCCATTGGCAAGGGAGTCCATAAAGAGAGTACTGCAGTGTGTGCACTGTGCCTATAGTTCAAGAGCTCTGCAGCATCTAAATAAGATATGTGCCAATTAAAGCCGGTTTGCAGCTTGTCTCGGCCCAGATAATTCACTTAACCCTGAGCGTGCAGCTGACAGGTAGCATTTGTTTACACATCCCTCCTCATGCAAGCTGCCAGGCCCTTTTCTCTACACGGTATTAAAACAAGCCACCTCCCACCACACCCCCACACACAGCTCACTGGCTCTCTGTTTCCATGGAAATCTGCCCTAGGAAGCTTTTGTATCTTCTAACCTTGAAAGCACCCTAAGTAGGATCGACTCTCAGAATATATTGTTGTCAAAAAGAATTGTCATGACGGTAATCAGTGCTATATTTGATACCCCCGTTCAGCAGCTTCCCATCTTCCTAGTTCATTATTTCCCCTCCTGCTGTGTTCTGTGCCTGAGTTAACAGCATGAGAAAAGAATCTGAAGATTGTACAGAAAAAGAAGCTGGAGACTGAAGCATATCATATTTATATATATTACCACTGCCCCACAGAGACAGCTTCTCTTTATCATTAAATTCAGTATGATATTATTTGGGATCTGTATGAGCAGATTTACTCCTAAAGTGCTAAACAGTGTATCAGTTTAGAGTAAAAAGGCTCCTCCGTTGACACCTCAAAATAATTTTAATAGCACAAAGTAAATTACAGCCTTTAGTTCCAGCTTTCAAATAATCAATAAAATCTGGAATTTAGAATCAAAAAATATACTCTTAATACAACTTGCTATTTCCCAAAGTGGCATTTTTAACCCTGTCATAAACTCATGCTGGGGCAATATGATCAATGCAAAAGTACACAAGCTGTGCAGGCGCACTGTCTCAGAGCAGAAAGTGCCATTAAAATAGCACAAAGATGTCAGCGTAGCACCGCAGCCTCACGTCATAGTGGAGCTTGGGTTTCATCTCACTGAATGTTGATTGAGACTTTGTATGCTGAGTCTGTAATCTGCCACTGACAATTATGAGCTAAACCATGTGTTATTTATGGTACATGAATAGCACAATGATTTAACATGGCTTGGAGGGAGTGCCATCATTTTCATTCGAATTTCAGTTGAGAGAGCACATTCCTGATGATATAAAAGGCCTCGAAGAAGCTGACCTTGATTTCGGTCAGTTGCGGAAGGGAAGCCTTCATGTGGCATGTTAAACAACATGTAATTTATGAATGCCACTAACTCTGTAAACCCTTGTATGAGCCCTTTGAAGAGCAGTTAAAATGGCCAAGGAAGTCCGAAGATCATGGCGTTATTATCAGCATCACGGTAACAACAAGTGTCAATCAAGCAACTTTAACAAATTATAGCTTTCGATAACCTTTTGAAGAGAAGGACTTCCAGCAAAGCTGAGAAAGGTCAAAGCAAAAATTACAGACCCTGAATCTTGTAATTATCCTACACTGGAAACAAAGTACGAACAATAAAGGCTAAAATAGGACAATTAGGACACAAAGAAAATAAGTGAAGTGCCAAATAATGTAATACAAAAGAAGATATGACCCTGCAAAACTGCAGCAAAATAAAAACAAACAATAAGAAGCAACTTGACAGATATTTTCATCCAAATGAATGGCATCTTCTGTTTTTATCTGTTGAGACATGCTTTTAGACAACTACACATATATTATGTGCCATTATTGGTAGACCACTAGAACAGTGGCACTGTCTCCATTAAATCTGTTTCACAAAGGCTTTCCTTATTATGTTAAACACGATTGTGTTGTGTTCATGATTGTGTTGTTTTTTGGGGGTCCTTGGGGGAGGTAAAGTCTATGTATACCCTCCTGTGGGCCCACCACCCGCAGGAGGAGCTTTGTCGATCATTCAGCAGTTGAAAGCGGGTCCCCTCACTATTTGACCTTCAGCTGCCTATAGTGGCTTCAGGGACACGGCGCGTCATCTCTGTTGGCTTGTATAAGATTTAGAGCCGTTAGCTGAGGAGAGAAAGGTCTGCGTGTTTCTGCTTAGACAGCTGCCTCTGTGACCTGGACCCAGAACTGGGCATTATGGGAAAAAATCTTATCATGATCATTTTTCACTTCAGTCAATATTTCTCTATATAACGATATATATCAAATCATCAGTCCAGTCAGTCTTAAAGATTCCTTTTTGTTTTGTTTTGGGATTTTTTTTATAAAAACAAACTGTTTAAAATTGTTGGAAATAGAGAATTTATCCTCATTGTTTTTAGTCCTACTGCTTTCATGTAGAGTCTTTTTAGTTTAGCAGTTAAGACACAGACCATAACGTACAAAATGTGAGTCTATGTTGTTTTTATAGTGTCCCACTTTATTTGGCACTGTAAAACATTTTTATCCTCTGTCCCTTGACCTACATGTTGAGACAATGTTCCACATTTTGACTGGCTTTATATTTCAAAGGTTAAAATTGGAGGAAAGGGAGTTTAAAATGCTGTTACCATGCTACCCACGCAATGCTCAATCGGGTAAACTGAAATCACCAGCTCGTCAGATTTTCACAGTAATGAAAACTACAAACACATATAAAGAACAAATAAAAACAGCTACAATAAAAGCCTAGGAGACTGGCTATTGTTGAGTCCAACAGAAGATGATGCTCTGGCACTTCCTTTGTTTTATTTGTTTTATGAGGTGAAATGACATGTTTTTTGTTGGTTTTATTTGTATTTATTTATGTATTTTTATTTTATTTTTAAGTCAGACATGTCAAAGCTTCAGACCAGTTGTCAACATTGGTAGCGTGCTTCCCACACAAACATACACTTTGCTTCTTGTTTAGTTTTCTGGGATCTTTATATCACTGATGTGTCATTGTCCACCACATTTCCTTGATTTCTATATAAAGGCATGATAATATAGTTTCAAATCAGTTTTTCAGACAGGCTGTGTAATCATGTCCTCCTGTAGGACTCATACTGAAGAGTTTTTAGATGTTGTCGTTAAAAGAGAATGTGGTTTGTATCACTAAACTAGAGGAAATCATTTGTCTAGTGTGTGTGTGTGTGTGTTTTCTTCATTTACAGCATGTTGTCAATGGTTGGATTAGAAAAAATCTGTTGCTGATTCATTTTTCGCCAAACCTGTGCTTTGTGTGGCTTCCTCTCACAAGCTAATCTTCATATGACAAGGCACACAAATTCTAGATGGTCTGTGTTTGGTCTTTAGAGAGTCTCTGCAAGCACATCTTTAATCTCGCTTCACTGATTGCTCACCCATCACCTCCTCCTCCCCCCAAGCAGCTGCTCTCTCTGGCCCAGTCCTGGAGGATTTTAAAACATCGTTTTATCTCTTACCACAACAAGTTAAAACATCAATGGACCAGAGCTCAAAGCCTAATACCACCATTCTCAAGCGTTTTTCCAGCATACCAGAGCCTTGTATTCCCACACAGAGTCAAGTGGAGGAGGAGCGTGTGTGCAGAGTGCAGGTGTGGGTGGTTTGTTGGGAGAGAGAGAGAGGAGTGCAGCTGGTTGGGGTCACAGTGCCTTAGTGTGCTGAATGACTAATGAAAGGTTTATAGTGGCGCAGCATCACTAGTCTGAATTGTAGGCTGGAGAAGGACACGCCTTGTCTGGCTTTTAGCACCCTCCTGGCCCTTCACTAGTTAAAAACAGGCATTTAACAAGTTCTTCCAGAACATAGGGCCACAATCCTTCACTTAACAAGCTCATTATTTCGCATTGTTTTTGTCCTTTGCTCCTCCTCGGTGGCAGTGACAGGGAAAAAGATAATCTTTGATGTATGTCTCTGTTAGAGAGTTGCGTAAGGATATGTGAGAGGAAAGGATGATAATGGATCTGCTAATGATGTGGCCTTTGCTTATGTGGATCCTTGCAGTAATGCTGGGTTGTCTGCATGAATATTCATGGCTATGTCTGTGAGAAAGTGGTGGCAGCTCAAGGTTATTTTAGAGGGCAACAGAGGACAAGACTCAAAAAGAGATTGTGCTATTAAATAGTTCTCTATCATCAAAAAAAATTACAGTCAGATACCTGAAAATCAAAGCAAAGCTTAACACATGACTTCTTTTGATCTCTGCAATAAATGCCATATCTTGCACGTAGACTTGCTTACTGGAAACCTTTAGAGCTTCAAAAGGAGAACTACCAGAAAGTGACATTTAATATCTAGGTGTAAAAACAACCTTAACTTTATTGGTTGACTAGGGAGGCGGCATGTGGTACCTACATGTGGTACTGCTGTAGCAAGTCCCTTTTGTGAATGACGCAGTGTACATTAACAAATCTGGATACAGTTTTGACCTCTGACTTCATCAGATTATTAATATAACTTCTGGGAGATAAAAAAGGATGGACATCAACTGTAGCTTTTATATCTATATGTGAATCTGAAAGGGTAAATGTATCACAATTATCAATCATTACTGTTTCACTGCACAGGAGTTGAAATCAATAGCTTAGTTATACCGAGTAGAATTTACTGAGTGTGAAATTGCAATCAAACAGCAACTACTAGCCACAACCAAATACGTACTACAAAGATAAATGATGTTTACAAAGCCTCCTGAAATCCTGTTTACAATCTCATATTACTTGTTTCTGTTATACGCTGTCATGGAAAAATGTTTTTCCTCTTGAAATGTAATTTTGACTCCCAACTTGAGAGAATTGCATTTTCAGCACTGAAATTCAAACCCTCTTTGCAACAGCATTTTAATCAAATCAAGCCATGTCAGAGTCATTTTCAAATCAATTTTAACAACTCACAAGTGCTGAACATGACAACAAATTATCCTTCATGCTCATTTCAAGGCATTAGGCTTAAATGCCTTGTTTCACTTCTTTTTTCCTGTTTCTCCAGCCTTTGCCTTTGCAGAACAAATCATATAAATAAGGGAGCAATATTAAAAATGTTATTAGTTTCACAATTATGTATCATAAGAATTTCCCATACCTTATCTTATCGCCTCACAGTTCTGTTAACGATTCACTAAAATGATACAATGAGAGGTTTAACATTTTCTCTCAGACTGAGTGTGCAGCACGAGGCAGGAAGGTGATATAGTCATCGTATCACACGCTTGGACAAATATGTATCAACAGCGAGACAAAAACACCTCCCAGAAGAAACCAATGAAACCTTTGGAGATTTCAATTACTCCCTTGATGGGGTTTTCAAGATCGATAACCACGCATGTGTCTTGACAAGATGCTCGGTGCTACCAGGGGCTCACTTTAGAACAACAGACTCTCAAAGACCGTTGCTATTTTTGTGCTAGGATGTGTCTGCCTGACAATAATATTTGCGTGTGTTACGATAAATATTTGTATGTTCGCGTTTTAATATAAAGTGAAATTCAAGATGCCCATCCTGCTCTTTTTAGTGTTAAGTGATCAAATGTTTTGGCAGCACCCAAACACGATCATGCCGCTTCCCTAGTCTGCCACTCTTCTTTTTCCTCCTTAGCCTTTTCCTCCAGTGTCTCATTCAGAAGAATGAAGACAAAGATTCAACACACAGAGCCAGACAGCAACAGAGAGCTCCGTAGCGCATACTAATCTAAAACAACACTGCATCTAGGCAACATGTTTTATTCTATCCCCACTGAGGCGTGTTTAAGTGTGAGATGTGTGAGATAGGGCTCTGCACATCTCATCACTTAGGAAAGGTTGTGGCCTGCATCTTCAGCCCCCCACCCCCACCTCCATGCAGGTTCCTATCACTTCCATCCTCATATTGGAAGTGACAAGCCACTCAGGCAGAGGTGTCTTCGCTCACCCCATCAGCAGCCATGCAGCCCCATTCAGAGCTGTCAGCCTGATTACATATCAGAGGGGAGGGGTGGGAAAGGGAGTGAGGTGAGGGGTGGGGTACCTAAGGAAAAAGAGATGTCCAGCCAGAGACAGACCACTAAGCACATCGTCTGTCCTGCTGCTGCACATCTGCCAATACACATCCCACCTGTCACCAAGACTGCCACATAACCAGTCTATATGTCTCCATCACTCTCCTGTTGATTTCTAAAATTTCAACAACATGTATCTTTCAGTTTGTGTGTCATTCTCTCTTTTGGTTTGTAATTGGCCTCTTTTTCAAAAACTTTTTGTTACTTTGCTTTGTTATTTTTTTGGGTCTCTCATTTTTAGTTAAAGTTCAGTTTTATTTGTTTAGGAGTTTTTTTTTTTCCCACATTTCACTGAAAAGGGCTTATCACAGGGAGCACAGCTCATTTACCAGCTATTCATGCTTGGTGGCAACTCATTACTCAGATAATATTACCTATCCTACCTCTTTGCACCAGTAAAGCAGTGTTAGTTTGCTCAGGATGAAAGAAGATGTGCTAACTGAACAGAAGTACTAAATTATTGGAGGTTGTCTGAGGTGTATTTGAGGTTCCCAGCTTCTTCTATGAGGACAAAAATACATGTTATTTGCCTAAGCACTGATTTTCTTGTCTTTTTTCTTTTCTCTCTCCAGGCGTGAAGCTTGGAAGTACTCCACGGCAGTCCAGAGAGGTATGTGTTTACTCCATTTCTCCCAAAACACATACACACAGGTTGCTCCCACCTGTTATCTATTGCAAAAAAAAAAGTGATTGTCAGCCTTGTACCTCTCAGCGTGTCTGATAGCATCTGTGTAGAAAGGCTGACCTCACACTGTGCATTCAGCCAGTCAGACTGAAGCTGAGTTTAGTGAGTAAACGATCCCAGTTGCACCAGGCCAGTTTCCTCGGGGTATTATCGCACCTGGAGTGTTTTTTTCCTCTGTTCTCCCACAGCAAATTTTTTTTTCTCGCATTTATTCTTTTTGTTTTACTATTTTCAGTGTTTTTCAGGAGTAAAAAGTATACATTGTGTTCTTTGTCTAAGTCACAAATACATCCACATGGGCTTAAGCTTATATAGTAACATACAACTATGATTTCCTTTATTTAACATTAAATATTCACAATATTTAAAAATAATAATAATAACAATAATTGAACCCTTTGATTTAATACCTGGACAAATCTTGTTTTGAGTCATCAAACAGGAGGTCCGTTCTATAACTGCAAGATCAGACCTGCATATTGTTCAGAAGCCATTTTTCCTTAAATAACTGCTTCTATTCAGCCATATTTTTTTGGCATGAACTGTTTTCTTTTGATTCCACAGCTTCTCAGTTGGATTAAGGTCCCTGATGGGGCCACTCCAAAAGGTGGATTTTCTTTCTGTTGGTTGCTCTGTTTGAAGTTATTCAGTAGATTTACTTTAATGTTTGAGGTCATTTTACGCTTACGCTTGCATCGTCTGGCATCATGACAGTATCCTTTAATATATTGTTTTAAGTGTGGGAGTTCATTTTCGCTGTGACGATGCCAAAATGCCCAGGCCCAGAGGCAGAAAAACATAACGTAATGCTCTCTTAACTGTGCATCACCTTTGGAATTATGCTTCCAAAGGTTCGGACACAGTGCTGCCTAGCGTTCCCAAATAATTCAGCTGTTTCATAAGTCCTCAAAACATTTTCCCAGCAGAGGCGTCAAGGGTAAAGGTTCTTCTTTTCAATCTTTAGATGAGAGGAGATGGTTTCTGTTGGAGCTCAGCAGCTTCCTCTATGCTATCCTACTATCAACTCTGTCTATTCAGTGATATATATATTTTAGAGACATGAACACAGATGTTAATTGGTACGCCTTTGGCCTTCAGAACTCCCCTAATACTTCATAGCATAGATTCAACACAGTGTTGGAAACATTCCTCAGAGATTTTAGTCCATACTGGCATGACATCACACAGTTGCTGCAGATTTGTTGGCTTCACCTCCTCTTCCACCATATCCCAGGGGTTAAGATCTGGTGACTGTGGAGGCCATTTAAGTACAGTAAGCTCACTGTCATGGTCAAAAAAACAGTTTGAGATGATTTGATTTTGTATCATGATGGGTTATCCTGTCCGGAAGCAGCCATCAGAAGATGGGTACACTGTGGTCATAAAGGGACAGATATGGTTAGAGACAACATTCAGGCTGCGGCATTTAAGCAATGTTCAGTTGGTACTAATAGGGCCAAAACATGCTGCGAAAATACCCCCCACACCATTATACCACCAACTCTAGCCGGAACCATTATTAAGAGGCAGGCTGGATCCATGCTTTTACGTTATTTATGCCAAATTCCTATCCTGCCATCTGAATGTCACAGTAGAAACCGAGACTCATTAAAGCAGGCAATGTTTTTCCAATCTTCTATTGTCAAATTTTGGTGAGCCCAGTGTAGTCTTCTGCTGCTGTTGTAGCACATTTAATTCAAGGATAAATGTGTGTTCAGATACACTCCTCTGAATACATTGGATGTAATAGGTAGTTATTTGAATTACTACTGCCTTCCTATCAGCTTGAAGCAGTCTCGTCTTTCTCCTTTGACCTGTGACTTCAACAAAGCATTTTCTCTCAGAGAACTGCTGCTCACTGGAGATTTTCTCTTTTTTAGATCATTCTCTCTAAACCCTAGAGATGGTTATGTGGGAAAATCCCAGCAGATCAGTTGTTTCTAAAATACTCCAACCAGTCTGACTGGGTCCAATAATCATTCCATGTTCAAAGTCTCCTAAATCTTCTTCCCAATTCTTTTGCTAGATTTAAAATCCAGCACTTTTGTCTTTGTCATGCCAACATGCAGGGAGTTGTTTCCCAGTGTTTGTCTGCTTAGGTATTTGCATTAACAAGCAGTTAAAACAAATACATAAGGGTTTTCCTGACTCTGCCTAAAAACTGCAGATGCATCTTGCAAACTCATAAGAAGGTTATTGCCATTTTGTGTTCACACAACAAAATTTTGTTTGGTAGCTCTGGGCACAGAGGAGAAGGGGCGGTTAGCACACCCTTTTACATACATACCTTTTATAAGCTTAAGGTTACTGTAACCTACACCTCCACATTTGTTCACATGCATTTTCCCCATCTATGTTGTGAATTTTTAATTGATGCAATCAATATGGGCAGGAACAATACAATTATTTGTATATTATTAGTCATAATGTAGATTATGTAGATGTAATGTAATATATAAATAAATATGTGGCTGTGTTTTAGGTCATTGACAAGGAAAAAAAGTCATATTCATTCATTTCTTTTTATTATTAGGGTTTTTGAATTTTATTAACTACAGAAATTATTACTTATGATTATCACCCCCTGTGATTCCACATCTCTTCATATTTTGACTTCAACTCTTGTTTTTATTAGCCTGTAACTTGCACAAAAACAAGTTAGAATTAAAGTAAATGGAATTTTTCTCATCTGAACAAATAAAGCAGAATTAAAACCTTTGAAAAGTTTGAGTAAACAACAAAATGTGTTCTAAATGTTTTAAACATCATTATAAAAGGCAATGAGGATTTGAGCTGAGGCTTTAATGTGCTATATTTTTCATCATTAGCACAAATAATATCAGGAAGAAACATACATAACAAAAAGAATAGAGTTCACTTAAAATTAGCAAAAGAGATGGTGAAGTGCTAAAAAAAAAAAGAGAATATATCACTTAAAAGCCAGTTTTAATCAAGCAATGAGAAAGTTTTTAAAAAAGAAAAAAGACATTAACAACCAATTAAATTGCTAAAACAAAATACACAAAAGGGAAAGTTAAGATAAAAGAGCAAGACTGATCATCAAGATTTAACGTTTTTCCATAAATTTCAGCAACATGAAATGGCTGGGAATGAAAAAGGAAGTGCAAACACTTAGATAATTAGCCAAAATCATCATTTTTTCCAGTTTGGATCATAGATAAAATAAATTATATCATAAAAAATAAATAAAGATATATCATCTATTTTTAATGACAACCTGCTATGAATATTACATTGTACGCATATGGACATTCAAACCAATACGTGGTCTAGGGCTTCACTCTTTGATGAACAAAACATGTAAGGATCTACTTTAAATATAGATCTGTAGCTTAGAAAATGTACAAAACTGTTTTCATACTATGAACTACAATGGTCAGGTAGTTCCTACTATGTTCTTTCAGCTGACCCCTGTTTGCTCTCTCTGTCTCTCTGCTGTGATCATCAGCACCAGAGAGAGACTCACACCGGTGTAAACCCTGAAGAATGTGTACCAATATCTGCCTTGCACTCACCTTAAACACACAAGGACCTTCCCCCCCATCCTTTCCTCCCTCCAGATGAACGAATATGACCATTTACGTCTGGAGAGGGATGAACCAAGATTCATGGTGGTCTCATCACCTTGTCTGTTGTAAAATTAAAATTATACATCCAGTCCATTGGCTTTATGATGCCATTACAGCATTTAATTGAAATAAAATGTCAAAATGCGTGATGGCCTTGGGCATCATCTGATAGTAATCAGGCAGTAGATGATTCTAATTTGGATTCCTCATTAAGTGTTTATAAGACATTTATATGGCATTACAGCTCAGTTTATTGATAGGTCATAGATGGCATTGGGCAGTGTGTGACATTTGTGTGTACCAAAGTTAGACCTTTAAGCTGTAGTGAAACAGCACCATCAAGTGGCTAGTTGAAGAATAAAAAATCTGGGGTACATTTCTGACATTGAAGTTATAATATATACCATATTAATAAAAAAAATATTTATATTAATGGTTCTTCTTTGCATAGCCACCTGAAACTGTTCTTGTTTGTTTAGTCTAAAGAGGTCTGCAGCTATCAACTCTAACCTGTTTTGTCATTGTTTTACAGACACTTTCCACTCGGGACCGCGAGAGAGGCAAATCGGATAGTTTCCAGGACCTCCAAGTTACAGAAAACATCCTGTCCAGCGCGATCCCTCCAATGCAGTTCCCACATTTTGAGAAGAGCAGAAAAACAGCCTCCCCTGGGTCTCAGGAGCAGGACATAGGCTCCCTTCATGTCACGAAAAGACAACGCAAACTGCTAAAAACAAGTCCCCCAATTCGACACACCAAAAATACCATTTCCTCATCTTCCTCATCCTCAGTCTCATCCTCATCTTCAATTTCCTCTTCCATTACATCGGGCTTTTTTTCTCCAGAGAGCTGGCAAAAGCTCTCCGGTATCCTAGAAGCACGCCAGCAACTGATGAAGGAAATCTGTGCTAAGTACAAAAGCAGCATTTCAAAGACCATCACACGTCATCATGTGAAAAGCATCTTTGTGGAGGACAAGTACAAGTTGCTATACTGCCAGGTCCCCAAGGCAGGATGCTCCAACTGGAAGAGAACCCTGATGGTGCTGGCGGGTAAGGCCTCCAACACTCAGAGTATTAAGCATGACACAGTCCACTACGGGCAGCATCTCAAGAAGCTTGATAGCTTTGACCAACAGGGAATCATGCACCGTCTGCAAACCTACACCAAAGTCATATTTGTCCGTGAGCCCTTGGAGAGAATGGTGTCAGCTTACCGGGACAAGTTTGAAAATCCCAACAACTACTACCACTCCCTGTTTGGGAAACCCATCATTTCCAAATACAGGGTGAACCCATCAAAAGCAGCCCTGAAGACAGGAAATGGGGTCACATTTAAAGAATTTGTCCAATACCTGCTGGATGTCCACCGGCCCGTAGGAATGGACATCCACTGGGAGCAGGCAAATCAGCTGTGCAACCCTTGCCTCATAGATTACGACTTTATCGGCAAGTTTGAGAACATGGAAGAAGAGTCTAACTTTCTCTTGCGATTGTCTGGGGCACCACCTAACCTCACACTGCCCAGTTTTAAAGACAGGAACCCAAGTGACAAGCGGACCTCTATGCAGATCACGGAAAATTACTTTTCACAGGTTAGCGCTTTGGAGAGACAGCGAGTATATGACTTCTACTACATGGACTATCTGATGTTTAACTATTCTAAGCCTTTTAAAGATTTATACTGACTTGAGAATTACGTGACTGCTTCACGTCACATTTTCACAGTCACATTCCACTACATTTTTACCATAACTGTAATTTTACCATACCAGTCTTTACTCACATGCTCAAATAGGTCTTTGCGTCTTAGCAGAGAGATCAGAGAGACCAAATTTCACTCAAAAACACTTTAATTACATTTTTTAGCAGATTATATTGATTTGTAGACAGTTTGTGTGCTGTTGTATTAAATACTCTAAATTGTCCTAAAATGCGAAGTGTTTATTCACTACTAGCAGATGGTGAGGTAGAAATTTAAAACTGTAAACATTAAGCTTCTAAAAAGATTTATTATTGTTGAACAGGCTTTAAAAATATGCCTTACTCTAGGTCAAATAGCATTTGTAAATGTTTGTTTATGGTTTAAGCACCAAGTTTACCATAGATTTCAACCACATACCTTATCTTACTTACAACAATATTCATAAATATAGTAGCTTGAGTCCTTGGTATTCTTAAATTGTTCACAGTCAAACCCTTTCATGATTTAAAATGTTTGCATTTACTGTTTGACCTAGGGCAAGTTAGGCATCAATATACCTCTATGTATCAGTGCATACTAATACAGATATTTGATGTGAATGGCTTTACTAAATATAACTAAATGAAACACTACAAATACTATAAATCTTTAAATGTGTCAAGTGCTGCCCACTTGGAAGCTGTGTGCGCCTATTGTAGCATTTTATACTTCTAACTTTGTCATTTTGTGCTTTTGCTTAACACATACATGTGCTGTAGGTCCTCCATCAATAGGGTGTCTAAAAGCAGGGTATAAAGTGTTGCTATGAATATCTCTCAATATCTATTAGTGTTGCTGATTTACCAGTTGATGGTATTGGAAATTAAAAAAAATAAAATACAGGCTAAAAACAGATAAACACTTTTTTCATATTACATATGACATTTTTCAGTAATGTACAATTTGGACTTTCCAGCAAGAAACAGATAACAAGTTTGCACAAACTTCTTTATCTGCCACTTTAACCACCTCATAATATTATAAAGCAACCCATCCCCTCTGTATATATCATAGCTATTCAATACCAACATATAGGCTTTTTTCTGACTCTACTGTGTAAAATTGTATAATGGGCATTCAGATGAATATATATTTTTCTATGTATTTCTAAAATATAAATATATATATATAGATATATATATTCAGTTCTTCTTGGTGATGGTTATTTCCTTTTTGATGTCATTTGTTGTTCTTTCAGTAATATCAGTGTAGAGTGTTGTGTAACTGAAGAGTTTCTTTCCAAAACAAAATATCCACCAGCTGAAAACCAACACGTCTCAAAAAAATTTGAAATGACTGCAAACTATTGATGCAGCATTTAAAAAGTGCAAATAGCTATGTTTGAGTGATGAATTGATCTTCTTTGGTGCTTTGGAGTTAGGGTAAGATTTTGTTTAATATAAATGGATATGTACAATTTTGGAAATTAGCTCTTTGATTATTTATCCCAGATTCATTTTGATGCTCAATGAGATAATAGACCCTGTACAAACGAGCTGCATTCCACCTAGTTAGCCATCCAAGCTGAGGACATTTTTACCCATAGCATACCCGTGCTGTGTGTTTATATGTGTAGTACTGAACTACCTGTTTAGATGTTTTTAACACCACTGCACATCTTTTCATAAAAATATATACACAAGAAAGCTGCAGCTATCGTATCCTTTGTGCAACATGGCTAAACTACTATTCCCAACACAAAACCCAACTGGCAAGTCATGTTGTTCTTTTCTTTCTTTCTTTTTAATATGCAACATGATGCAGGTCAGACTACATATATAATGTGCACTAGTTAAAACTGCAAAAGAAAAACCCAAAAAACAGCAGTTTTTAGGTCCTAAGCAATCAGATATTTAAAAATGTTTTAGACATTCAGACATGTTAAATACAAGACCAGTGGAACAAAAAGTTGTGAGGTTAATCTGAGTTTTAAAAAAAAAGAAAAACACAGAAAGATTAAATATAATAAATGTTGAGTTTAACGTAACGTAAAACCCAGACAAGTATTCAAAAAATTTACATTTAGTTAAAATCAACTTGGTTTACTGTTTCATCTTTAAGCTGTGAAATGGTAAACATGCCACAATCAGAAGTGGTTACAAATGATGTATAACACACCAAAATAAACACCTTGATTAAAGAAAAAGTCATTTTAATGGCAGCAAAGATGGATTTGATTTATTCGATTCTCTGAACAACCTATGGGTATTCTCCAATAAAACAGTAGTCACTATTTAGCTCTGTTATGTCCTTTGCAGCTCACTGGAAATTTATTTTATGGTAACGAAAGTTGTATTTGCCTAGAGAAAAGAGGGAAATCATATTATTCAGATCTATACACTATAATACTTTTTTAAGACCTTTAATCATTTTGGTGATGGTAACTGTATGAACTTTTGTCAGTGTAGTGTTGGCTTTTGCAATGCCAAAATCTAACCTTTGTTTAGGTTCTGGTCAAAATCTATGTAGGTGTAGCCAATCTTTGGCCAAAACAGCTAATGCATTATGATGAGTATTACTTTTGTAAATACTCTGTCAGTCCCTGCCCCCCTTCTAAAGAAGATTTCTTGGTTTTGTGGGTATACGGACAGATCAAAAGCATAACTACAGTAACAAGTGAATGTATAACAGTTTATTGTTGGTGCAAATCTGTAAAAAAAAAAAAAAAAAAAAAAAAGATTATCTTAAGCCCTTTGCCTTATTTTACACTGCCAATCAAATGGTGTATTTCAGGAAGATATTTTTCAGGAGGTTATTTCTGGCTGATGAGTGTCTGCTAATAAACTGTCTTTTAGCATTTTCATGTGTTATTTCTTTTTTTCATTGAAAAAAAATGTTGTTTGTTAATCTCGAGTTAAGTGATTTGTGAGCTTTGTTGAGCTAAAGGGCTCCAGAATGTAAACCAGCACATTAGAGCCAGAGCCATGTATGACTCCAAATAAAATTTTTACCATGTATTAGTTTAGTTCTACAAATACTCTGAAAATAAAGTGCAGATAATGCTGCTGGATATGTCATTACCTTTTAAATTTTCACCAAATATCACCAAAAGTTACAACAAATGATTCTGACATTAATGTCTGTTGCCCTGTAGTCACAAATCCCAAGTCTATATTGTGTGGGTTACAGGAGTTAAGGAAATTACCAAAATAGTCAAAGTTGGTTTTACACATGAAGCTGTTCCAGGTTGAAATTGACCAGTTGCTTATTCAACTAAGATTGCCACTCCTTGGCGGCTGCTTATCGGGGCCTGGAGCCTGGGGCTCACTCAGGCCACTTCGGAGGTGGGGTGCCCCCGGCCTCTCGGCCTGGGGCTCGGTCACTCAGGCACAGCTGGCTGCCGGCGGAGCTCACGGGCACGTCACTACAACCCCCCCTGGCTTCTGCTCCGTGGCTGCTGGGTGACCCCTCATCTGGGACTCTCCTCAGCTCTTTCTGGGACAGTGGCACGGCTGCCCCTCTGTTGGTCTTCCTTGGTCTCTTGTGTTCTGGGGGCCTCTGGATGTCTGGAGTTTTGATCTCCTCCATACCTGCTTCATGCCCTGGAGGATGGGGCAGTGGCTCCCCCACACCCTCTAGCAGATCATTACATGAAGGAACCTTTTAAAAAAAAACAAACAAGCGCGCTCATGCTCACAGGTGTACACACGGGTGCTCACACACAAACTACACCCTTTTTGGCTCCTACCTCAAAGCACACTGTGCTGTCGATCTTACGTGCTGCACAATAATGTTTAATATTTAGTATTTACTGTCATATTCCCATATATCATTGTGATGTTGTTTATTCTATTACTCTCGTTTTCTTCTGCTTGTTTTCTTTTTTCTTTCTCAACAGGTGATCCAGGTGATCGATATATGTATTTTTTTTCTGCTTATTCTGTTGGTTTTTGTTTTTTGCCCTTCTCCCCCGTCCCTCTTCTCAGCTGTTTTTCTTTCCCTCTTTCTTTCTCCCTTTTCTTTCCCCCAGTCAAGTCTGTCCCGTATTCAGCAAGTGAAAATAAAATAAATAATAAAAGGTGAATCAAATGGACCTTTACGGCAAAGCTGGGATGGTCAATTTGGTAAAGTAAATCCGTTGGGCATCTTTCTTCGCCTTTAGACAATAATTCTGATGGCAAAAGAGCCAAACGGGACAGGCAAAAAAGAAGAAGAAAAAAAAAAAAAAAGATTGCCATAAAAGGTTTTCCCTCTCACAATGTAGTGCTTGAGGTCCTGCCTACAGAAATCAACAAATAATTTACAAGTGCCTTTAATTAATTTGATCGACAGTATTGTTGTTTTTTAGGCCATTTTGTATATTTCAGAATATAAGCGCATGGCTTCCATGAATGTGTTATTAGAGCAATACTGTACAGTGATAGATGAAAACAGGTATGATTCACAGAAGGGTTCATAAGGTTGACATTTTTGTCTTTCTGAAACAAAGCAGTGTGTGACTAATATGAGAGGTATTCAGAGAGATGAGTGAATATTTTAGTTTGTAGTGGGTGATGTTAACGTTGTTGGATGCAACCGAGGATGAAATTTGTTTGATTAAGTGTACAAGTAAAAAGATACTCTGTGAAAGCTGGCAGCCATGGTAATACTGGTATGAGAACAAAATATTAATTCTGTTTTAAACAACAAAGGCCCGATATTGATGCTCTTTCAATTAGAAGACGGTATTAAGAAAAAACTAACATGTAAGTTGCTCGGTTAAAAATTGAACTCATTTAGCCACGATTGTTGTGGCACATCTGACAATGCTGCAATGTGATACAACAAGGAGAACGGACTTCTTGGGGTCATGCCCCTCTCTGCCAAATGGCAATCAATCTAGAATAGATATAACTGCCAAACTGTCAAGGTGAGTGAAGTAATCAACACATGAACAGGAGGAGAGTTATTACTGATCAATCAATACACATATTCATCATTTTTTCTTAACTGCTCATCCAATTCAGGGTAACAGAGGAATTGGAGCCTATCCTAGCTGTCAGGGGGTGAGAGGTGGGCTACACCCAGACAGGTTGCATGGAAGTGGTTTGTCAGCAGTGATATGTCACCAGTCAAGGCTACAGGGGAGACAGACAAGCGTGAGCATGCAAAGTCCACAGAGAAAGGCTCCCGTCAGCTGGCAGATTCAAACCCAGGACCTTCCTGCCTCACCACAATGCCATCCCAAGGACACAATGTCACTGTACCAATCAAGATCCTGTAATGGAAATTATTTTGATGCACAGAGCAGATACCCCCCTCCATGAGAGACCCAACTAACAGCAAGTGTTAACTTTGTGAAAAAAAAGAAAGAAAGAACATAATTTAAAAACAATTTCTTCAAACTGCTCGACTTATAAGCGATTAAAACAAAACGTACAATAGTACAATTGTATCCACTTGCTCAGTTTTGCATATAACAATATACTATGGAGTCAGAATAATAATGTTAAATAAATCTACCAGTAGTTATTCCCTATTTTACAAAGGGTTATGCTTTTTTGGTTAGGTAGAGTTTATGTAAAAGTACTTTTCTAAATGTCACTTAAATGTAACAAAACTGAAAAAGTTACTCTATAAATGTGCATCATAAATGTGCTTATATGTGTTATATCCCAGCATATACAGGTAAGTCCTTCTAGAAAAAGAGTATCCCTTTTAAAAGCAAAATGAATAACCATGTTAGTACAATCCTCAAAAGATCAAAGGGACAAACACAAATTTTGTTTCCTGTCTCTAGTGTCCATAAAATTAAATGTACCAACACTCTGAATTATTGCGTCTGTGACCTGAGTTCCAAACGTGGTTTTACATAACAGTGGTCTCAGTAGGATATTTCTATTGCTGCACTGATTAATATTTAAATTAACAGTGTTGAGAGTTAACTCTTTAAACAGTAAGTCATGTCTATCCATTATGTGCCTCAGAGGGATAGGACTCATATTAAAATCCCTGAAGGTTAAGTCACATCAGCTCACAAAACTAAATGCTGGCAAATAACTGTCAATGCATGTTTTATGTCTGCGAGTACAACTTTTCATTTTGAGATCTAAGTGCCTTCAAATTGGTGCTTTTATTCTTCCATCACACAGCCATAAAGTGTCGGTTCTGAGAGAAAGGGCTCGTTTCATTTCGATTTTGTTATTAGACTAAAGTAGGTACCTTATGTTGCCTAAATTTACAGTCATTTGTATGATTCTCACACACTCAAAGGAAGTAAAATCTGTCACAGCAGCATTTTTTTTTCAAGCATTTCATTTTTTTTTCAATTTACCTATCAAAAATGACATTACGCTAACATAAACAAATAGCAGTCTTACAATGCACTTGTATCTGTGTATGTATGTAAGTGCATGCTTGTGTATGTATGTGCGTGCCTGCGTGCGTGCGTGTGTGCGTGTCTGTGTAAATGTGCGGTTATGTTTATGCTTGAGTGGAAGATGAATATTGCAGCACAAATTGATCACTCTGTAGAGTTAGAAATTTGATTAAATGCTCAAGGCTGATTTCCGCAACAGCTCGTGTATAAGTCATGAGAGCACTTTGGGGGAAGTTAAAACTGTGGAGAAAACAAAAGCCATCCATTTACCTCATTAGTGTGCGTGGAAAATCTTGACATGCTTTGAAGAGAACGTGCTTGTGTAGCAAAATCAGCTTAAGGGCCCAAAGCAGACATACAAGGGAGGCAACCAAACATCTTCCCAAAGTGATAAACAACCTCGCCTTGCTTGGGAGGACTGTAAAAAGAGACTTTGCTCCATTTTTCAAGTATTATTATTATAAGTTCCTCAGCTAATCTTCCTCTTTGCCTTCAAGCCAGCATTAACATGGCTGATGACAGGTTTCGGCTGATTCGCTGACGACAGTTCTATCACACAGACATTAGCAGGCACACGCACGCACACATGTATAGGACAAAGACTGACACAAAGCGGTTTGCAAGGGCTGTCTACAAAGGCAATGACTGCATCAATGCCTCTGCAAAATCTCCCGTGTAATAACGGAACAAAACCAATTTAAGGTGTTGACTCTTCGGTTCAGTAGAAGAAAATCTGAGAGGAAGGAAATTCCCTCAAATGTCAAATACAAAACTTGGCTGATTCCCACGCATGCCAGGTTAATTCTCCGCCTTTTGCATGAAACCCTTGTTTGTTTTGGCAATGAGTGTGCTGCACGCTCCAGACACATCTCTCAATGACATAAGCCTCATTAAAATGATTTGCTCAAGCTCTGTTGTTAATCAAGCCACGCAAAACGACAAGTGGAAAATAAGTTTACGGACGAAATCTCAAAATTCAAGTCCTGTTGAGGGCACAACCTTTCCCAAAATCTAATTTGGTGAGGTATGCTGGTTTTCATCAACACAGCTCAATCGAAAAACAAAAACTTCGTCATTTAGTTGAAGACAGAGACAAAAGTAACTGTGGCTGCCTGGTAGTAGGCAGGTGAACCATACAGATACACAGCAGTACATTCTTAAGCAGGCCACAGAAGTGGTGTTATATATTCAATTCACACAATGACGATTCCCAGGTTTTCAAGGACAGATTTCAACAGTGCACTTGAAAGTAAAGGCACGCATCCAGAGGTGGAGGTACTCATTTGACCACCACAAACAAAATACCAGTTTAGTAAATATTTGTGATAATTTCCATCCTTAATTCTGTAAGCATAGAAAAATTCAGCAAAATTGATCATTGATCCAAACTGGGGTATTTTTGCAATTTGATGATTTGTGTTTTTAAATATATGTAAAAGGTATCACGGCAGAATGAGTAATCTGATTGCTCTTTTCTCCATTTTATAAGTATCTCTATAAA